CCTACGAGTATGCCAGAAGTGACCTAAGGGATGCTGTGAACATGTGCACAATCACAGAGTGGGGGAACCACACCTCCACACCAGGGGAGGCAGCACAAGCTCTGAGCAGTTCATGAAGCAGGGACCAGTTAAGAGATTTGAGAATGGCTCAGAGACTCATGGCCAAGAAAGTTCTCTTTTTCTCTCGCTCTTTTTTTTTTTTTCCTTACAGAGTAGCTTAAGCTCCTCATGTCTTGTGTAAAGGGGTTTATGTGGATGAGAAAGGGTATCTCTTTCAACTGTATCTCTGGAGTAGTGGGAAGGGAGTCTCACTATAGAGCAAATGGCTATGGTTTCCCACCCTGGCCCAAGGGATAGCATATACCCTCCCAAGAGTCCCTGAGTGAGGTCAGCCAGCAAGTAGGAGACTATAAACCTGAGCTCCCAGCTTCAGGGTTCAGCTACCCAGAACCCTTGGGCTTAACCTGGAGCTACAGCCCTCTAGATGAGAATCCATATTGGGGCCTACCAATGAGACATCACTGGCCCCAGGAGAGCTAGGGAGAAGGGTCAATCATGGCCAAAGCCCACCCCACTCCCAGCCCAAGCTATGCTGGCACTGCCTTAGGCACCTTTCTGGCAAAGCTGCCAATCCTAACTCCAAATCTGGGAGGAGGGCTTGCTAGTCCACTGTCCAGATGAGTAAACCAAGGCTTAAAATACTGACTAAGTAGGGAGCGTGCCTTGTAAACCAGTGCCAAACCCTGTGGCCTGAAAGAGCTGCCAGGGTGGACAAAGCAGCTGAAGACCAGAGGTAGCATGAGGGAGGGTCCCATGTGGATGGTCAGACAAGACTCCCTGAAGAGGTGACATCTGAAGTAAGCCTTGAATGAGGAATGAAAAGGTGGCACCCATGTGAAGAGCTAGGGAAGAGAAATACAAGCTGAGGGAAGAAGTGCAAAGGTCCTGAGGTGGGAAAAAACCTGCTATGTGTAAAACTCACCAGGAGGCTGACATGGTTGTGGGGAGGAAGAAGAAGAGGATGGTAGAGGCACAGGCACTATTGTGGTGAATGGTTTGGTCTTTCCTCCAAGAGCAATGGAAGACACTGGAGGATTTAACTAAGCAAGAGATGTGATCTGCCTTAGGTTTTTAAGAGACTCCTTTGGCTGCTATTTTGCCTGCATTCTGTGTTAGGATGTGAGTCAGGGTGAGGGCAGAGAGATACTGGAGGCTTCTGCTGTCACCTTGTGAGGCACAGTGATGGCTTAGGTGTGGAGGGTGGTGATGAAATGGAGAGATGGAAGATTTGGGATGTCTGGAGGGAAGCCCAAGTGCATGCCAGGCCCTTCTTGGTCTTCATCTATTGGACAACCTGCAGCCTTCACAATGCTGCTCAGTGCACTTGCTCACAGCAAAGACTGGGACCAGCTCTGCCTAGGAAGCCCCCAGCTGGGCCTCTGTGACAACACCTCTCCAGTCAGGGAGACTCCTCAGATGGGGGTCTACTCATGTCTCTGCTGAGCAGCTGGGCACTCCCAGAACCCAGGAGCAGCCTGGTGATAGACTCCCTCTTAATAGGCTTCACTCTACCCTAGATAGTGCTTAGCTCCCAGACCATCTCAGAAAACCCCCAGCATCCCCTCTCTGTTGGTGAAAGCCTGGAAGTACTCCTACGCCTTCTCCCAGCTCCCTGTACAGGGGAGCCACGTGTAGGCAAGCACTTCCTTCCTCTGCCAAGTCCTGCTCAAACCTCAGACCCTGCTCCACCAAGGACCTCGCAAGTCTCTGAGACGCCAATTCTCACTCAGGTGAGACCCAAGCATTAATCCACTGCCTCCTTTAGGCTTCTCCCACTGGAGCTGCCCCTTGGTCTCCTGGCTGGTACCAGGACGGCTATGGAGATCAGGGATAGGGAAACATGGCCCTGGCACCAGCAATGGCCAAAAGTCTATACTTAAAAACAAAACAAAACAAAAGACTGAGACGGAATTCATCTAAATGCAAAAGGGTCAGCATCCTTCCGGGCCACAGACTCCAGTGGAGCCACAAGAGCAATGCTGCCTCATGTCTTTCTTGCATATAGCCAGAACTATAGTTCTGCACATCCAACAGCCTGAGCTGCCGTAAGGAATGATGCTTTTTATACCAAAACTCCCGAAGTTCAGCCTAGGACAAGCTCACTGTCTTCTCTCCCCACCCCCACCCTGTTCCAGGTCTCAGAGCAGAGAATAGAAAACAAAACCAAACCAAGCAATGGTAACTGGTCTAGACCAGTAATTGTCCACAACCCTACATTAGATATCTCACAAGCAGCAGTCATGGAATAAATTTTGACTTAATTTCCCCTTCCCCAAACACAGCTTTAAAGAAGTCAAATCCCAAACTGGAGTTGTGGCTCAAGTGGAAGAGTGCCTGCTTTGTGAGCACAAAGCCCTGAGTTCAAACCCCAGTACCAAAAAACAAACAAACAAACAAGAAGTCAAATCCCGCCCCCCAAAAAATGTCATCTTACAGGAAAAAAAAAAAATCTCTGCACCATGGTGGCTGGCTGAGTTGAGCATTTAATTTAGCTCATCGTTCCTGGTAAAGCTTGAGTCGGCCTGTTTGGAGGTCTCTGACATGGTAGCCACATGGGCATCCCACCACGCATGAGCAGAGGCGGTCCCTAGCACAGGTTTTCCCTGCTATGTAAGGATATCCAGGATTTGGTCTCGAGCATCTCAGCACAATTGCTGAACACCTGGATGTCCACAGGGAGGGCTGGGTAAAGCACAAGGGAGCCTCAGTACAAGGGCTGTAGGCAAGGGCCGGGCAGCATAATCTGCTTCTACCAACGGGGCTGGCAAAGGATCGCCTTTGAGAAAACCTCCTAAAGCCATTTTTGCTCAGGGCGCTTGCAAGGGCCTCTGCTATAAGAGGGTTTTTGCCTGGCTCCAGACACATAAGCTGTGACTCAAGATGACAAATGTGCTCCCAAAACACTGGGGTCAATTCATATTACATTGTAAAACCTAACCATATCTGAAACATCCAAACAACTCTCCACATGATGCAACAAACGACTCTGACTTGCTATGTGTTGTAACTATCAGATTTGCTTAAGAGTCTCCCCTACATTCACGCACATCTCCCTTAGCCTGTGTCCCTCCAACATAGGCCCCTGCCTCTGTCCTTGTCCCCAGCCTCACAGAAAAGCTGAAGCCAGGACACAAAAGTCAGTGTTAGTGCCTATCCTTCTCCCATGTTCCCGGAAGCCAGTTAGGGGGGACAGCAGCTTGGGGGGACAAGCGGGGATATAGCACATACCCACGCGTCTGCTACAGCTTAAGAAAGCCTCCAAAGCTGAAAAATACATGACCTGGGCGAGGCAAGTGGGGTTGATCCAGTCTGTGGGAGTCTACCATCTGCCACTCTTTGACCAACGTGAGCCAAAGGACACAGAATGGCCCATCACCAATACCCTAGTCAGAATGAGTGCTCCTGCGCTAAGTACTCTTGTCACTGGCCCTCATTGTCAGAGGAACTCTGAACTGCTTTCTTCCTGGGAGCCAACCCTGCCAGAAAGTTTCTTGATCCTGGGCCTTTTGTCTAGCCATGGCTAGCACTGTGACTCCAGCCCCAGGTCAATACCCTCCGGTGGTTTGCAAGTGGTGGCTGCACTGCTAAGGGATCTAAAGGAGCATCTTTGTTAAGTATCTGCTTGTGCAGGGCACAGGTCTCTAAGGCAAGTGGCCGCATGAGTAGCAAGGTCAGGAGCAAGCCCCTTTCCCACAGATTTGGAAAGAAGGGAACCATCTCGTTACCAAGCCACCCTGGAGCAGAAAGGCAGTCCAGACAGACCACACAGCCAACATGCTTGGTTTACAGATGGGGAAAGGAGTTCATTTCTTCTCTTCTCTCTCTCTTTTTTTTTTTTTTGGTGAGACTGGGGTTTAAACTCAGGATGTCATGCTTGCAAAGCAAGCACTCTACCACTTGAGCCACTCACCAGCCCCCAGGAGTCCATTTCTCAAGTCAGACATCTACCAGGTTTTCCACCCTGGGATTTTGGAGAGCAGCCTGTATCTGTCTTCTCACCTCCCATGAACTTCAGCGGGAATCAGCTCTCAGAAGCACACTCCTCACTCCTCATCCTCTCTTCCCTGTCAGTAGACCCCACCATGAGCTGCCCAAGCCTCTGGCCTGCTATGATTGCACCCAGAACCCCCCCACCCCAGCCTTCCATGCACCCTTACCCTCAACTCAGGTCACCTGAGAACAGTCTGAAATACTCGCAAGTACTTTTTCAAAAGTGTAACTATGTTATGTTACTGCAAAGTACTCAGAATGGGCTCTCTTGCACCAACAGGCAAAAGGCATCGTTTGTGCTGATCATAAGACATTTCAAAGCTCTGGGTACTTAAAAAGATTTAACTTATGAGCTCATTGGGCTGGCCCCTTACCGATACCACTGATTTGTAGCACATATCTTAAAGCCTTCCTGAAGAGACCAAGCCAGCCTGCTCCCAACCCACTTGGTGTGCAGAGTCCTTCTTGGGCAGGGGCACACTCCTATCAGTAAGGACACAGATGAGTGGAGAATGGTTCTCCTGAACAACCAGGAAATCAGACAGCTCTGTCTTCTGCCCAGTCCTCCAAGACTGAGGCGCTCTTGTTTTTCAAGAAAAAGCTAACTATAAGGCTCTAAGCTCAAATCACACCAAGCATACCACCATCAGGAGGGAGGTGGTCTCTCCTCAAAACTGAGAGACTCCCTCGAGAATCATGCAACATCAGGGTAGAGCCTGCACCTGCTTGAGTAAGATGGAAGACAAAAGCCAACAGCTAGAGGACAGGGGGTGATCCCTGGCAGCCCCTTCCTTCCTTCAGCAGAGTCCTTTGGTTCCCAGCCCCACAAGGTAGGCGTGTATTGGAAAGACCAGCAGCACAGGATTCTCATTCTCTTAGGGAAAAGTCTCTTCTTGCCGAGCCTCAACTCCCATCAGAGGTAGCAGGAATGGGGTGCTGGGGTCACTTACCAGCGGGGGCTGTGGCTGGGGGTGCTGTCCTGCTCCGGAGGGGGGCGGGTAATGCATGAGCAGATTGAAGGCGGAGTAGACTGTCTCTTTGTACATGCCGCTGGCGCACTCTGGGGCCTTCAGGCCTGGAAAAACCACAGCTGGGTCAGACAGCAGCCCGGGCAGCTGCTGGGCTGAAGGCTGTCTGTTCTTAAGAGTTTAAAAAAAAAAAAAAGAAAGAAAAAAAAACCTGCCAAGGGATCCCCCTCAAATTCGTGACCTGATAGCGAGGGAAGCTGTTTGGGGGTACCCGCAGGGCCAAGCGTTGGGGGAAACAGGCCTCCCCTAGGCGCTCAGACTTCACACCCCACCCTTCCCTGCTGCCAGGGAACCTTGGCCAAGACTTTCTCCTCAATGCAGATTAGTCAGTCACCTGGGCAGGAGGGGAGGCGGAGATGGCGGGGGTCTGTTTACTCCTATAAAGGTCAGGGCACCGGAAGTGACTCGCCCCGCGGCGCCCGGGAAACCCGCCCCCCACTCCCCCACCCCCAGGGTTCCACCGCCTCCGGGAGCTGCAGGCTGGGGGGAGGCACCCCTGGGTTCACCCCTTCCCTCCGAGGCCGGAGCGTTCGCGGGAGGACGGGTAACCCCGCTGTGCAGAACTCACCGTCCTCCAAGGACTCTGGAAGTTTGTCTGGGAAAAGTCTCTGCGCAGTGTGATCCCGCCCGAGAGTCTGGAGAGAGAAGCAGAGGGGCAGTGAGGGGTGCAGGGGACGCTGGGGCTTCGGGGCTTGGGGCCGGGAAGAGGCTCGGAGTGATGGGGACCCCGAGGGCCGCGGGGGAGGGGCTGGCGCAGGCCGGCGCTCACCTCGGCCCCGACCTCGGCCTGGCCGTGGGCCCCAGGGCCCCCCGCGCCTGCGGCCGCGCCCTCGGACTCGTTCACCAGCGACGACTTGAGCTCGGCCAGGTCGCGCTCGGGGCCCGCGGCGCTGTCGCGGTTCTTGTCGTCCTGCTCCTCGCCCTCGTCCTGGAAGGCCAGCAGCTCGTCAGGCGCGCCGAGGTCGTCACCCCCACCCGCGCCGCCCTCGCCGGAGTCCAACTGCGGCATGGTGCGCTCCGCCCGCCCGGGCGCGGGACGCGGGGCACCGGGAGTGCGGGGCACGGAGCCGGCCCGAGAGGCGGCGAGCCCGGAGTCTGGACCTCCGAGCCCGGAGCGGGGCAGGCGGAGCGCGGGCTGACTCCGCCTGGGCGGGCAGTGGGCGCGGGGCGAGGGCGCCGGGCACGGCCGCTCCGGGAGCTGGCGGGACCGAACATCAAAGGGGCCGCCGGCGGAGTGCCGGGGGCGGGGCGGGCACCCCGGGGGCGGGCCAGGCGGGTGGGCGGGGCCAGCGGGGCCGGCAACGCCTCCTCATCTCCCGGGAGAGGCTGGGACGCGCCCACTGGGCACACACGGTCTTAAAGGGCTCGCCCGGAGGGAGTGATCCGAGGGGCCTGAAAATCATTGTGCTTCTTCTAAAGTGCGGGGACTTTAAAGAAAATTCCTGGCCCTCTTCCTCACCTACAACAAGATAGTCCTACGCTGGGTCCGGGTTTCTTCTGCAGCTGGGGAGGGTATGGGATTCCTAGGCCCGTGGGATTTCGGGGGGAGCTTACAGCTAAGCCATGGTGTGAACTGCGTTTGGGCCCCAAACCTAGTACGCTCTCTGCTTCCAAGTGGGGGCTTCCTAGGGCTTGGGGCTGCTGGAGGCTGGACTCGGACACCAAGGAATCGGCAGGGTTAGGACCCCTCAAAGCCCCATTCTCTGCTCCATCCTCCCATCTCCCATCACTCTACCAATCTAGGATCTCCTTGGAGGTTCACCGATATGGGAACAAGCATACACAGCCTCACACATTTATTTAGCGCCTGTTGCATGAGCAGCTCATATATCACACACTATTAACAAGCTCCTCAACCATGTGGCAGCTGCAAGGCGCGAACGCAGAGGACAAGGAGGAAGGACCTCACTACCCATGCCGCTGGTCCTCCAGCCGCCTGCCCCCACGACTTCCCCAACTCAGTTCCACCCCTAGAACCTCCGGCCCCAGAACTCGAAACTTTGGACAGCCACTTGGGCCGAGGGATTCCAGCGTGAGGGTCCTTCATCCACAGCAACTCAGTCTGGGAAGTTATATTCTGAGCCCATTGACCGACGTTAGCTCATGCTGCGTCTTCCATGCTGCATCTCCTTGGCCTGCCGGGGCGGTATCCATGCGGACCTTCAGGACATGCTTGGTCTCGGCCCAGCCATTGCATCTACAAAAATACCGACCCTTTGGGTGGCAGGGCAGTAAACTGCAGCCCCTCCCCCAGCAGGTTTCTGTGTTGGATTCAGCGTAGATGCTCCCGCCTCCTCCAAGAGCTAGTAGGATAGAGGGTATTAGGGAGAGGCGGTATTGGAAGCCTCTCCAGCGCAGGGCCCCACAAGGACCCCTGGCAGCGGCGCAAAGCCGGCCGGAAGACAGCCGCGCCACCCCTCCCCGTCCAGGCCCAGCCTGGCTGGCCGCGGATCAAAGAGCCAGGGCCGGGCAGTGCTTCTCTGTGTTCAGATCCTATCTACACCCGCCCAGCGGGATGCCTCGCCCCCCCCACCTCCGGGCTAGGGTGCCCGCTTTTCATCCCTTCCCAGGGCTGGGGGACATGGACATTAGTGCTTAGCGTGGCAGTGGCCATGCGGTGGAAATCCTGCCTCTTGGGTCTCTCCAGCCTCCTTCCTCCCAGGTGTGAGCTTGCTGCTCAGTTTGACCCTGTCCCTTCTAGATTGGGGGGAGGGGGTATAGGAGCTGGGCTCCAGCCAAATAAAACCCTGCCAAGAGAGGAAAGACACAGGAATAGGGACCTCCCCCACCTCCCCTGAGGTTGTAGGGTCTGGCTTTGGGATGAGCCCCTTCTGGGAAAGTTGAACTGAAATGAGTCTTCCTGTATTTGTGGGTGACTCCATCTTCAGAGCAGTCACAAGACCATGAGGTCCCAGCAGATACCCGCCAATGGGTGCTGAAATTTTCTCCAGTCTGTGAAGGAAGGAGAGAAGTCAGGGCAATGAGGTGTGTTTTTGCTTTTGTTTTCTCAATAAGGGCACATTTCATTCAGCTTGATATTAGCCTTTAATTAAAGATTTTGGTCTTTCTGCTTTATTGGTGTGAACGTAGCCTTTCTTTACTCAAATGATGATAAGAATAGAGGTTTTTCTGCAGTACTCTGGTTTGGCCTCAGGGCCTACACCTTGAGCCACGCCACTAGCCCTTTCTTGTGATGAGTTTTTCTAAGATAGGGTCTCACAAACTATTTGACCAGGCTGGCTTCAAACTGTGATCCTCCTGATCGCTGCCTCCTGAGTAGCTAGGATTACAGGCATGAGTCACTGGTGCCTGGCAGAATAGCTTTTTTTTTTTTGCTTTTAATGCCCATATTTGACAAAAGAAAATAAGGACATTTTCTCTGATCTGTTCACTCCTCCAACCCTCAAGTTTCTTTGGACATTTTATAGGGGTGTGAAATACCCAGGTCTGGGAATCACTGCCTTAAGGGGTCATAGCTCCAACTCCTTGCCATGCTGGGGAGGGGAAGGAGAGGCAAAGGGAGTGGGAAGGAGGAGCACAGCAGGGACAATAGGGTCTGAGGAGAGAGAGGTAAGACAAGGCTGAGTGGCAGGCCTCCACAACCACACTGACACCAGGCCAAAGACATGCAGAGGGATCAGCTATGGTGCCTAGGCCCTGGCTATGGAGAGGGGAGGGGCAGAGGTATCCTGTCTTCCAGGAGCCATTAGCTGCTTTGAGAAGTTGAGGAGTCATTAGAGCTGAGCTACACAGACAGTGGGCAGATGGAGCTCCGATACAGCAGGATCAAGTAACCTAGAGGAGTCACGGAGACTTCCTGGAGGAGGTGGATTTCATCTAGGCCTGGAAAGCCAAGGAAGGCTTGGAGAGCTAAAGAGGAATATGACTGAAAGGAGCAGGCGAGAGTGGGCATAGGGCTACACAACTGTAATCCTAGCTCTTGGGAGGCTGAGGCAGGAGGATCATGGTTATGGTCAGCCTGGGCTACATAAAGAGATCCCACCTCAAAATAAAAAAGAAAGGGAGGAAGGGAGGAAAGAAAGAGAAAGAAAGAAGCAGTTGAACCCCAGCTGGAGGCCCTTGCCTTGATGATAATGGTTGGTTCCATTATCATCATCCACACCATGACCTCACGTACTGAAGAATTTGTATGTACCAGCCATACTGCTAAGAGCTTCACACACATTATCTCATGTAATCATCACACCAGCCCTGTAACATGGGGACTGTTTGTCCCCATCTTACTAATAAGGAAACTAGAGCTCAGAGAGGTTAAGTAAGTCATCCAATGCCTCACAGCTTACAAATGAGGGTGGCAGAATTCCAGACCCAGGCAGCCTGACACCTGAACCCACAGCTACCAACCATGCTGCAGCGTTTCATTATGTTAAGGGAGTCTTTATCTGTTTTGTGGTCTTAGTAGACAAAAGCTAATGAATGAACTGTCATTAATACAGGATCCTAACTTTCTGGGTGGCTCTTGTTGCAGGGAAGTGTTACTAGAAGGACTAGGGAATCTCCTTGCATGGCTGTATAAGGTGGCCCAAGCCCTTTGCTGGGTGTTCTAGGGGACCCAGAGCCTCTCCCTAGAGCCAGACAGATCTTAGCCTGTGCCATCTCTCCTGGGCTTTGGGAGTCATCCACAAGTGTGATACGCTGTGACTGCCATCCTAGAGGTTCCAGGAGTCTTAGGACAGAACCAGCTGCAGGGAGATGCCAGAGTCTTCTAGACTCATTCAGTCAGGTCAGAGGCGGTGACTTAGGAGTTTTCATCTCCATGCAGGTGAACTTGATTGTCCTCAGATGCTGGACACAGCTTCACGGTTTGAAGGTCTGAGTAAGAAAGCAGCAGCATTATATTTGACCCCACTTGAGTTTCCATCTTGCCCTGTCATTCATTCACTGTGGGACCCCAGGTCAATCACTGGCCCTCTCTGAATGAGTATCAACCTGGGGCTGCCTCGCACTGCTGGACCGAGGTTGAGATGAATCACTGTACCTAGTAATGAGCACATTTCAAATGCTCTAATAAACGGGTGCTCTTGAGCTTGATATTTTTCGGAAGTTGTTAGGCTAATTGGCTCTTCATGTAACGTCATGTAAACCATCTGAATGTTCTCATGTCCTGAGCCTACTTAATCATAGCTAATGCTGAAAATATACATTTCCTTTCCTTTCCTTTCGAGTTCCTTTAACATGAAAGGCCCTCGTGAACTCTCTGACCTTTTCTAACAGGGAGACCCTTGAAATGTGGCATTTCCAACAAATGGCTCAAAGGAGCCCCAGATGGATTTAGTAAATTACAGCAGAGAGAGTTTCCCAGCCAGCAGCCAGCAGCCAGCAGCTCTCTTTCTGCCCGGCAGCCTGCCTGGTGTCCTGTCCGGACTTGCCAAGAGCAGGTTCCAGGTTGGGTACAGGTTCCAGGCAGGAGCACTTCCCATGGAGCCTCTCTCGGGGCAGAGTCTGGTCAAAAGTCCTGGAGGCAGACTGCGGTTTGTTCCTAGAAACATGCTTTGCCCTCTGGAAACTGTAGTTTCAGTGTGTCTGAGCATGTGTGTATGTGTGTGTGTGTGTGTGTGTATCTGTGAGTGTGGGGGGTGGGGGAGTTGTGACCTGCACAATGGCAAAGGCCCACAATGGCTATGATGCAGTTGCCTGGAAATGAAACGAAAAGGGTTTGGAGGTCATTTCTTCCTTCAAAAAGAGGGCAGGAATTTTCTGTGGGTTCTCCTTTCCCTTCTCAGATTTTATGTAATATCAAGAGTTATTTTCAAAATAAAAGCTGAATAAGGAGGATGAGGACTGGTGGTGTGGCTCTGGTGGTAGAACCGCCTGCCTAGCAAGTGCAAGGCCCAGAGTTCAAATCCTTGTACACACCTCACCCCCCAAAAAAAGAGAGAGGAAAAAATGGCGCTATGGCTCAAGCCTATAATCCTGCCAATTTACAAGGCAAAGATCAGTAGGATGACAGTTCGAGGCCAGCCTGGGTAAAAAGTTCACAAGATCCCATTTCAATCAATGTGTGTGGTGGTGTACTCCTGTCATCCCAGCTATTCAGGGAAGCAGGAATACGGGAATTTCAATCCATAACACATAAACCAAGATGCTATCTGAAGAACAACCAATGCACAATGACTTGGGTGGTAGAGCACCTGCCTAGCAAGTGTGAGGCACTGAGTTCAACTCTCAGTACCAAGAAAACAAAACAAAACCC